TTTCATCAGTTTCCTCAAGATGTGTTGAGATTTTATCCATCTTCTGATCAATTCTTTGCAAGATAGAGTTTTGGGCTCTGATATTTTCTGTTTGCCAGTTTAACACTTCCTCAGCTTGCCTCAGTGGTTTTGTTTTTCCATCCGGTCCGACTTCTTGACATACAACATGTGATTTGGTTGTTGTTTTGGACACATGATCAATATTCCTTTCAAGAGGAGAAAAACCTCTTTATAGGATGTTTGATTGATCATCAAGCATGGAATAGGAGGAGCAATGGGAGGTGGCATAGCAAAGGTTTTGTACTTATCTTGTCTTGGAAGAAGGAGACCCTCTTCTTCAAGGATCTCAACATATCTTCATATTTTCACAGAGCGTCTAGTTTTTCTTGGTGATGAAGTCCAATCTAAGGACCTTTTCCTGGTTCAAACCTTTTGTTGGAAAAGAAAGGAAGTCTGGAAGATCCTCCTTCAAAGTTATCCTCCTTATCTGAGTCATCATCGTCTTCCTCACAACAATCAGTCAGAATCACAGATATCAGGATCTGTATCCCAAATGAAGTGCCCATCTATCTTATGAGTAAAGATAGGCTTCCCGTCAGGATATACGTTGACAATATGAATTTTATCCTCTTTAGTGATAGGTGATATCATTATGGATTGAAATATGGAGGTGCTTGAATTGGTGACATGTTCAAGATTCTTGAAGATAATTTTGACAATACCATCTACAGATCTTCTGAAAATGGTTTCACTAAACTGGATTGATTTTTTATTGATATAGAGTTTTTCATAATTGGTGACCCATTGCATAGGAATAAGCTTTTGTAGTTCTTGCTGTGAAATGTTTCTGGGGATTTGAATTATGGAAGGTGTTTCATCTTGATTATTAGCCAAGACGAATAGTGCTCCATTTTACAAGAGGGTAATACAAGATTTACAACATGATCTTGCAGTTTGTAGATTATCTGGTAATGAAGGGTGGTTGACAATGCATCAGCTACTTGTTCAGCTCCTGTGATTTGAATTTGAACCTTCAATCTTTGAAAGATAGTGGGATATTTTAAACTAACATTGAAGTTAAGAAAGATGGTCAAGACTACACTTTCGGCATGGAGAGTAGTTAACACAGTACCAATTACAACATCTTCATAGTGCAGATAGTTGGAGTCAAGAAGAGAGACTCTAGCTGAGACAGGTAATCATGGAGAAAGAACCAGCCTTATAGCCTCATAATGGAGATGAGAGTGTATCCTTCATTTTGCCAATACCTAACGAGATCTTTGTGGATCTCAATATTGACGTAGTGTTCTTATATGGTGGAGGCTAAAACACACTGATCCATTCTGGAGGATTGGACATATTCATTGACATAGGGTCTTCTGGTGAAGATGAATTTAGAGAAAGACCTAAGGGTAGATCTTTGTCTTTTAAAGATATTATAGGGACTTAGGAGCGAACTATATGTTTCAGAGATTTGAGCATCTGTAAGGACATAGGAATATTCAATGAGAGATTTTCTATTTTTTATGAAAGGGTTTTAGAGATGTTTTTTTGGAAGAGAAAGAGTAGAATTTAACAAAACGGGACCGAACTCTGTTGATGTTTGATTATCCATTTCTAACAGGTTCTCTTACTCGTCTTTTGTATATAATTCCTACTATCATACCCCCTTCTGAAAAATGATTAGGCTCTGATACCATTTTTAACATGTTCTCTTACTCGCCTTCTATATATAATTACTACTATTAACAGGTCAAAATTCTGACCTTTAATTAAAAAGGATGCTAGTTGTGTATTTATTGGAGAAAAGATGTTAACATAAGAAATTTAGGTGCAAACTATGTTAAATGCGGAAAAAAATTGTCATATGCTATCGGTCATAATATTTCTTGAAGAAAATCATGTTATCACTAATGAACAAGTGATAAAAGAGGCACATGAAATAACATCAAGGTCTGAAAGACAAAGGAAACTAGTTATTTCAAGTGATTTTATTGTGTATTCACTTGAACATGAATCTGAATTGAGTATTAATAAAAATCTAGTTTCATTTAAAGAAGTCATGGAAAGTGACAATTTAGAAAAGTGGTTAAATGCTATAAAAGAAAAGTTGAAATTAATGGATGATAATAAAGTATGTGATCTAGTTGTATTGCCTAAAGGTTTAAAAAGAGTCAGTTATAGATAAGTCATTAAGACTAAACATGACTCAAAAGACAATATTGAAAGGTATAAAACTATATTAGTTATCAAAGGTTTCACTCAAAAGAATGACATTGACTACAGAGAGACCTTCTTTCCTGTTCCTAAAAATGACTTTTTGATAATTGTTTTGGCTTTGGTGGTTCATTATGATTTAGAACTTCACCAAATGGATGTAAAACCTGTCATTTTAAATAGCGACTTAAAAGAAGAAATTTATATGAACCAACCTGAAGATTTGTTTTCACATAAAGGGAAAACATGGTGTGTAAATTAAAGAAGTCAATATATAGACTAAAACAAGCTTTTAGATAATGATATCTCAAGTTCAATGATACCATCACATTATATGATTTTTTTGAGAGTACTATTAATTGATGTATCTACGTTAAGGTTAGTGAGAGCAAGTTTATAACTTTAGTCATATATGTTGATGATATTTTGTTTGTTAATAATAATGTTTTCATGTTACATAATATAAATAAGTTTCTCTATAATAACTTTGAAACTAAAGATATAGGTGAGACATCATATTTGATAGGGATAGAAATATTTGATGATTTATCACAAAGATTGTTGAGATTGTCTAAAAATCATATATTAATAAGATATTAGAGAGATCCAAAATAGAAAAGTACTCCGCAGCAATTGTTCTAATCAGTGGCGGATCTTGACCAATGATATTGGGGGGGCCAAATAATATATTATTAATAAATATAAAAGGAAGAAAGAAGATGAAAGGGTGAAAAGATAAAATTGTAGATATATACTTAAATATATTAAATGATTATTAAGTTTGAGGGGAACAAAATCATAAATTATATGCGAGTTACAAAACTGAGGAGGGGCTGAGAGGATAAAATTGTAAATATACAAGTAAATATATTAAATGTTCATTATGTTTGGGGGGGCAAAATCATAAATTACATGGGAGTTACAAAACTTTAGGGGGGCCACGGCCCCCTCAGCTCCTAAGAAGATCCGCCACTGGTTCTAATACAAAAAAGGTGAAAAACTTAGTCAAATGCAATGTCTTATAAATGACTTGGAATGAAATGAAATGAAATTTATTCCTTATGCATCAGTGGTTATGAGTTGGATGTATGGCCAAACATATACTTGACCGGACATTAGCTTTAATCCTAAAATAGAACACTGAAAAGGTACAAATAAAGTTCTTAGTTATTTATAAGGCACAAAGAATTACATGCTTACATACAAAAAGTCAAATAACCTTGAAGTGATTGACTATTCAGATTCAAACTTTGTTGGATGTGTGAACTCAAGAAAATCCACATTTGGATGCTTTTTTTTGTTGATTGGAGGAGCGATATCATGGAAAAGTGCACAACAATTTGTGATTGTCACCTCTATCATGGAGGCTAAATTGTGGCATGCTTTGAGGTCACAATTCAAACATTATGATTGCGGAACTTTACTTTAGGGTTTAGTATTTTTAATAGTATAGCTAGACCATTGATGATTTATTGTGATAATTTTGCAACTATTTTCTTTTATAATAATGATAAATACTCAAATGAAGCAAAACACATGTATTTGAAGTATTTATCAGTTAAAGAGAAAGTACATAAACAAAAGGTGTCAATTGAACATTTTAGTACAAAGTTAATGATAATTGATATGTTAATTAAAGGTTTACCACCCAAGACATTTATTGGACATTAAAGAATGGATACTATGGATAAATCATTGTTAACTATGTAGTTTGATGTATTATTGTCCTATTTGGTACTTATGAATTCAATTATAAATATGTTTTTGTTTTTATGTCATTCAAATTATATGATATATATTATTGTTTTATTTAGTAAAATGACAAAATATGTCTATAAAAGGAAATTAAAGATACCTATTATAATTTTAACCAAAATTAAGTTAAATTGAATAATTTGTGATATATAAAAGGAATCTTATTGTTGGATAATTTATGACAATCATGATTCAATCTTTAACTTAATTCAACGAAAGATAATAATTATAAATTCAACATATAATATGCACTTAAAAGTTTAATAGTGAATCTTTAAAACATCATATAAACCTAATAGAAAAATATTAAATTATTTTAACAATTAATATTAACTCATATAATTTATAAAACTACTTAAAAGATTTTATCAAATGATTATTATTAAATTATAAATATAATAAAATCATGAAAATTAGTTTAGAGATATTAAAATCAATTCACTTTTTTCTTATTTCATCAAATATATTATAGTTTTTTAATAAATGTATTTTTTTAAGTTATAAGAAAAAGAGAATTATTGTCTCTTTCTCTTGGAGAGTTACTTTACCTTAATAAATGTCTTTTTTTTTAAGTTATAAAAAAAGAGAACTATTGTCTCTTTCTCTTAGAGTGTTACTTTACCTTCTTGTAAGGAAAAGACTTATAGAACAAAATATCCAGAGACATTCTATATTATTAAGAACGCTATTAAAGGAATTAAAAGAAAGGAAAATATCAATCACTGGCAAAAGAGATATTTCATAATGAAACCCTTTTAACATACATAAATTCTGCTTTTATGAATTTGAACAAAATTTAACAATACAAATAAAAGCAAATTAGTACTGTAAACATCAACTGCAGAGAAAAATATAAGTCCAATAAAGTTGAACTACATGCATAGAAGAGAGTATCCTCTCCACTATACTAAACTTCTAGATGCGCCTGCCTTCTATACGAATAAATTCCCCAAATACCAATCAAATATAATTAGTCAACACTAAAGTATGTCAGATCCAATAACTAGTCTATGCAAGTTTGGAGACATCTAATTCAGTGAATTAAGCCCCTCATGAAACCTATCCAAGCCATCGAAGCTAAACCAATCTTTTTTCATCTGCAACATTTCAAGGTCAATGTCAAACATAGCTGAATGAAAATGCATACTTTAATAATAAATTTCAAGAACAGCAAACGAGATAACTTACAAAGTAAGGGTACCCCTCCATGCTAAAATTATCAGGAGCTTGCTTCAAAAACAAATTAATGAAATAGAGGACGAAAAAACCACATTCATTTCCATCTCTTTGTTGTGGCACCTAAAATAATTTGTTTCTTCTTCAATAATTGGTTATTCGATTACACTGGGAATGAAAATCATCTAAAGGGTGATGATAAATTACCTTCGGCACCAAAAATGGAATTTGAGATACAATATGCTTTGTCTCAGGTCGGTCCCCTGTTTTATAAATATCTAGTACAAATCTGAAAAATGAACATAATAGCTTGCTTGCATATCTCAAATAGCTCAACTGGAGAATGAAGTCTGATCAAAATAAATATTGTTGAGGTATGACACACCTTCTAATCTCAGGTTCAAGTCGTCTTGGATTAGCCATTTCAAGTGAATCCAGCAACAACATGCACCTTGACCCAGTAGTTGATGGCAAGCTCTCACCAAAATGGCAGAGGATCAAAAGGCTCCAGTGACCCCTAGAACAATTGGTATTTCAAAGTATGCCTTCTACAGATTAACATTTGGCAGATAAAGAAATGGATCTTTGGCAATAAAGGAACTGAGTGCATTTACCAGCAGACTATAGGAACAAAAACATATGTCTTTGAGAAAATTGGTTCTTTTTTAATCCAAGTCAGCACCTTGTCCTTAGACGAAGCAATCCTGTAAAGGCTAAACCATAAGCTGTCAAAGTATGTAAAGTGTCCCTTCCTATCTTCTGCAAAAAGCTTCCATATTTTCCTGCCAGAATTTATATTTAGAAACAAGGCCCCAATTTTGAAGTTCCATGGACATCATAAATCACTATTAGACTGTGACTCACTTCATGTAAGTATCAAAAACTCCACTGTCTAGCTTTTCCTTGAGTCCAGAAAGTGCTTCTTTTGGTCTAAAATGCGAATCTTGGGGTCTTGAAAGCGCTTCCTTGAGTCTAGAAAATGCTTTATTTGACCTAGAATATGTTTTGTTAGGTGTAGAAAGTGTTTTCTTTGGTTGAGAATGCACATTATCAGGTTTAGAAAGTGCTTCCGTCTGTCTAGAAAGTGCTTCCTTCGGTTTAGAAAGTGCTTCCTTGAGTCTAGATTGTGCTTCCTTCTGTCTAGAAGATACTTCCTTTGGTTTAGAAAGTGCTTCCTTCGGTTTAGAAACTGCTTCCTTGAGTCTAGATTGTGCTTCCTTCAGTCTAGAAGGTGCTTCCTTTGGTATAGAAAGTGCTTCCTTGAGTCTATACTGTGCTTCTTTTGGTCTAGAAAGTGCTTCCTCGCCATTTAATTTTCTCTTCCTCTTCGTCCGCAGTCGTCGGGGAACATTGCTCCAATCAAATGGAAATGGTGAAATACTACTTTTCACAGCATGGCTTAGAGGCTTCATTTTTCTTTCTTTGACTAGCATAGACTATCTTGTTTCTACATCCTGAGTTGTTTTTTCTATCTTGCATCACAGAAGAACAATGACAGACAGAATCAACTTCTCCATTTGGTTACTAAAACTATCAATTCTCTAAACACCATGTGAAACTCCAACAAACACATTAAACACAAATTTTATTGACCCCAAAATATCCCAAGAAAAGGAAAGAGTGAAACCAATGTTCAAATGCAAGAAAATGCAAACTAACCAAGGAAACCTAGAAATTAAAGTCATGGTCCCGCAACAACTAGGCCACAGTCGTATATACGGTTGTACACAATCATCACACACAAACTAATTATATTTCTTTTTACACAAATTTCTTGTTTACATATAAGGGCACAACTCCATTATACTAAAACTCTAGTGTTTTGTTAGCAAACAAACTGATCATGTGGCTGATAACTATCATTATACAAAAAGCAACATTATTTGGTGTAAATTGGGGAAAAATAGAAACCCTTACAATGATGAAGAACTAACTTTCCCTGTGTCGGAGTTTGCTAGTGTTAGTTGGTGCTTAGGGCAGTTTCTTTACTACTGTTATTATTATTATATATTATTAGTATATTCATTAATTAAAGAAAACAGAGTGTTTTACTGAATATTTTCCATTTGAAGGGTTACAATACAATTTACAAAGGGTTTATCACATTTCAATAATATTAACATTAAAAAAAAAAAAGAAGTAACCACTAACCAGTTAGCAGGTTTTAAAAGCGTTTAGTTGGAGAAAGGATTCGATACAATCTACAAAACTCGGAAGGACGTCGTAAGTATTCTGGAACTGTTGTTTGCGTTCTTGAGGAAGGTAATGGTTTAATTACTGACTTGGTTTTGTGATTTCAAAATCTTTTTCCTCCTTACGTTTTAAAATATCTTCCCCAGTTTTTTTTCCACACTACCTTTAAATCAAACTTAATTTTTTAATATATAATTGGTGACCATACATAAAACTTGATTCCACTGTCTATTTATCTATAGTTTTATATTATTTTAAATTAGGAGGTATTTCAATAATAGAAGATTATACAAAAAATAAAAGAATATATATATATATATATATTAATTCATATTTTGTTTTTTCTTTTATATTAAGAAAGTTTGAAAACAGGAATGACTTTGAACTTAAATTAAATGAATTTTTCCGTTCAACATTTATAAATTTATGAATGAAAGAGAAAAACATAATCATAAAAAAATATTTAAATTTTTATATTAGTCTTAAAAAATTATTATTTGAGATAAAAGTGTTAATATTTTTAATATGTATTTTTTTAATTTAAGATATTTAAATTTATGAGATGAGAGTTTAAGTGAGGAAATAGTGGATATTTTAATGAATTATTTGGTGAGCATATAGTTTTTATAAGTATTTATTCGAGTCACATGAAAAAAAAAAAAAAAGTTAGATACAAGAATTTATAGTGAAGTGACTGTGTCATCTAGTGATCATATCATGAATATAAAACATATTATGACTTAACTATAAGTTTTAGAGGTCACTGAATATACTCTATTTTATGCATTTTACCAATGATTATTTTTGTTAAGGATAAGATTAATCAAGTTAATTATAAGAAAAATATAGTATTATAAAGAAAAAGTCAAAATGTTTCTTTTGTAAAAAAGAAGACACAAGAAAAAAAGATTATAAAAAATTTAAGAATTAACTAAAGAAGAAAGATAATTTATTTGTTTTTATTTATTATGAATCTAATATAATTAATTTTAATCACAGGATTAATTTTGGCTCTACAATCCATGTTCCAATGTCTTACAATATAGGAAAAACATATGGAAGTAAGTGGAAAATGAAGAGTAATGTCTTACAATATAGGAAAAACATATGGAAGTAAGTGGAAAATGAAGAGTACATCTAAACAAAATAACTCACATGTATAAACTATTGTAACCTGCAATCTAATTTTAACTAGGATTTTATTTTACATTTAGAGAAGACGTTTTATGTTTCCCGTTCTTCTAAACATTTGTTTTCCATTTCAATTAGCCATGGCAACGGGGTGAGTTTTGCCCCCCCATTTCCGTCCCCAACTTTTTTAATCATTCTCGTTCTTGTTCTCGTCCCTAATCCTTGTCGGGGTTAAAAATTAAGTTTTCATCCCCGTTCCCGTTGAGTTTCGGGTTCCCTGCCCCTGCCCCCGCCCCATCCTTGATCTATATTCACTAGTACAGAAAACACCTTTAACATCGGTTCTTAGCAGCTTTCTATATCGGTTCTACAACCGATGTAGATACAACCGATGTAGAAAGTTTGTGAGTTTTAACATCGGTTAAGAACCGATGTAGAAAGTCTGACTTTCCACATCGGGTCTTGCCATAACCGATGTGGAAAGTCTGACTTTCCACATCGGTTCTAGCCATAACCGATGTGAAAAATCAGACTTTCTACATCGGTTATGGCCTAGAACCGATGTGGAAAGTATTAAAAATGACTTTCTACATCGGTTCTAGGCCATAACCGATGTGGAAAGTCATATATTTTTTTTAAATACAAATTTTAGTTTTTTATTTTTCAGAACCTGTACAACATTTTAAATATTTACAGCTACTCAGAATGTTAATCTATAAAGGACATGCATCAACACACAAGTAAACATAATGTATATTATATATCTACATTGTATTGTATCAACAAACAATGAACATGTATTGTATTCTAAGTTTATATATACAAACAAAATAGTCATAATGTTTCACATAGTATTCAATCACGACTATAGTTCTTAATAACAAAATCTGCCCAAAGTCGTCTAATGTCATCAATCTCTGCTTCATTTATTGGATGACCATCATCGAATATCTACAAACAAAAAAAAACATTTCAGATAAGCACAAGTAGGCAAATATGTGTCAATGACATAGATATAGTCATAACACATACCAAATTCCATGAATCTATGATATTTGCTGTGATGATTGTTAACATATGTCTCATCACATAATATCCGCACTCCCAACTTCCTTTTTGCTTATTACACTATAAGAAAAAAAAACATTAAATACAGAAAATGAGTAAATTAAAGTTAAGAATTTGAAAGATAACGTCCTTACACGTGGAAGTATCCATGTGGGTTTCTTTTTAGGCTTACCCTCCATGACTGAGCATGCTTCTATACACCTATAAAAGATTAAATGGAAAATACTTCATATTAAGACATGTGGAACTTAAAATGAAATGAATGAAATATTATACAAGGGTGTTAGTATACTTACACATCATCTTAAACAATTGAATGTTGTCTGGATCGGGATTTGGGAATGAAGCACAATTATTATGAAGTACTTACTTATGAATATAAAAAGTAAAATCTGGATACTATTTAGCTCAAAGGAGTGAAGCACGAGATCTTTACAGTTATTAAATCTGTCATGAACCAGACCTAGAGTATTTAGTCACAAAGACAGATTCATATATAAGGGTGTTAGTATACTTACACATCAATAATCTGTTTAATTTCCTTTTTGGGTTTATTCCATAAAGAGCATAAAAAAATAGCCTCATTACGTTTAGGACAAAGGATAAGCAGTTGCCAGTGAGACCTACAAAAAATGTCGCTCAATTAGCAATTCTTAAGAGATTCAAAGTTTGAGAGTAAGTAATTTAAAAAAACTTACCCATAATGATATGGTGCGAGATAAACTTCCTTTGATCCTTCACAAAATCTCTTTTGAATGTATACTTGAATAGTATTTGGTTTGTTCCCCAAACTCTGAATGTGGACAGGATCAATGAATCCATAGATATCTTCTACTCCCTTTTCCACAACAACTTTGTTGAGGTAACTAGAAATTGAAAATATCATGTTAATTGCATTTTAGACAAGTTGGTGTCTAATAGGGCATACAACCAATTGACTTAAATAAAAACATAAGACTTACATTAACCAGACTTGGAGAATTGTGACGCAAATCATGTCTTCACTCAAAACAACATCCATAATGTCCTTCTGACTCAAGTACAACGTGATGGGCTGCGGATTCCCAATCACATGAGGGTCCACCTGGATCTGTAAAGGTATATGTTTTCCTAGCCTATAAGCTAAGAGGCATAACCTTTGTATCGGATCTGAGTCCAGTTCCTCTTGAACTTTCTCCTTCCCCTTCTCCTTTCCTTTCTGTTGGGCACAAATGTCCTATACACATCAAGGAATTAAATTAAAATTTATGATAAAATAATAAAATTATAAACATGTATCAAATTATTAAAGAAAACATATAATACCTGATCAGTAGGAAACTGGATAAGTGCTCTAGGCCACTGAATGAAATGACCGGGAGCCTCCCCCACTGTTCTAACCTCGTCGGATGGAACAGGAACAGGAGCTTCAGAAACTTGCACCCGTTCAACCACAACACGAACAAAGGAATCCGTCATTTCTACCCCGTGTATAAGTGGCCCCAATGTATGCACAGTACCATAAGCCACTAGTAAGCCTTCCTGTGTGAAGAACTTGCATAGAGGCCTAGGAGTGTCTTCACCAAGTGGAGTTGACTCATCATCAAGAACGTCAACCTGTGCACAACTCCCTTTGGTGCTAACACGTTCCTCAGGGCGAGAAGCTACGGGAACACACTGTTGACCCCCTCCTGTGTTCCCCTGAGATAAGCCTAAGGAGACAAGTTCCTGCCTTAGCTCCGCCCGAAGCTCTTCCCTAATTTGATCCCTGATGGCCTGCAACTCATCTCTAATGACCACACTTTTTGTGGTAAATTTAGGAGTGCCAAAATATTGTCGGATGCCAATCCCCCATCCAGCTGCCCGCACACGACCTGGATGCTCTGGTCGTCCAATAGCAGTGGATAATATATCTTGTCGTCCACTAGGGGTAAAGGTCCCTTGTGAACTTTGCTCTAATAATTCATCCTACAAAGAAAATGTAATTGATTAGAGAAGACACAATATATAATTCTATCTCATTATGAACAATTTTTTAAAT